TATAATTTAAAAAAAATATAAAACATGTTGAATTTCTGTATGTCTGTGGTATGCAGTGGCAGATCCCGAATTTTCAAAAGGGGCCCACTGACTGCCTAAAAGGGGGGCCCGCTCAAATCATTCTTCAGTGATTCCCTAAATAATTAATCAATTTTTTTTTAAAAAGGGGGGCGCCGGGCCCTCTAGCCCCACCCCCTTAGTACTCCTTTGGTATGGATATAAAATAAAACTTTTAGGAGACCATACACAAAACAGAAAAGATAATAATTATTGGCATTAAGTATAAAATACTTACAATAAACTTTTCAAATTCTCTCCCTGTATGTCATTGTGAACATATAATACTGTGTATTCCAATCCTTAATTCTTATGGTTTCACTTTTATTTACACTAATATCAATCCCAACCTTCCTTTTGTAGTATTGAACCCTATAGTAAAATTTCATAGAGATCTATTTACTTAAACTAAAGTTATTGTGCGAAAACCAATGTGTCTTCGGACGACAACGCCAACGTCATACCAATATACGACAATTTTTGCGGTCGTATTAAAACTGCAAAATTTTCTTAAAATTACCAATTCAGGAGCAACAACCCAAAAATGGGTTGTCTGATTTGTCTGAAATCTATATTCCCCAATGATGAATGTGGCCAAGTTTGGTTCACTTTGGCCCAGTAGTTTCAGAGGAGAAGATTTTTGTAAAAGTTAACAGACGACGAAGGACCCCCAAGTGATGATAAAAGCTCACTTGGCCAGGTGAGCTAAAAATACCTTACATTAGAGCTCTATGATTTAAGTATCATGCCATATTATTAAAATAGTTTCTCTATTACTTTCAATTCCCTATATAAATTATGTAGATGTCTTAAAATTAATGTATTTTATGTCTCTCTTTTGGATTGAAGGATATCAGTTTTAAATAAATTAAAAAGTACAAGTACTAAGCAAGTTGATTGTCTGACCAAATAAATAACAAACGCAGAAAAAAGTAGCTTAAAATTTTCCCCCATGCATAGTAAATAATTAGTAAACAAATCTAAAGAATAAAAGGAAAAGGAGAAACTTTGGCACTCAGACTCATGTTATTATAATAGTAAATCAGCTGATTATGTTCTTACCAGCTGCACATGGTCAGTCAATTAAAAGCAATAAATTTCGTTAGTTTTAGTGACCTTCCAATCAAGCATTAAATGTCTCTGACCCTAAAATGTTGACGAACAGTGACATTATAGGAGATCACAGCTGAAGTGTAATACCAAGTGTTTTATGGAGGCTACAAATGTACATGAATACACATAGATCTACATAACATTTATCCATTTTAACTAAACATGTTATTGACAGGCAGTTGGTTGTCTTTTTTAACATTTACATATATATTTACTGGTATACATGTACTAAATCATTATTTACTGAACTTCACACAGGTTCAGAATATTTTTGTTTTGTTTTGACCCAAATAATGACTTCAGACAAAAATATATATTATACATGTCTATATAATAATATACATGATCATATGAATAGAATTAAATATCTCCCTTGAGTGCCCAACTGTTTTCTGGAATATTGCTTGTATTATGTTTTTGACATTATTGAATCAAAATGTCAATATGAGCAGACACAAAATAAAGGAAAAAAGATTGTACCCACTTACTAAAAAGAGAAGAAATTTATATTTGTTCTTTGACTACACAAAAAGTAGGTTATATTGATGTTTGATTGAAACAGGAAAGAAAATTACACATATATATATACAATATGAAGATTTAGATAAAGATTGAGGTTTTATTACATTATATTCTTTGATGTATAGCCTGTTCATTTAAGAATATAAATCGCATTAACAAAATCCATTCGCCCTGATTACATGTTTGCCCTGGGTCTGTTTGCCCTGAGTTCGTTCGCACATAGAGTCCGTTCGCCTAGGGTCCAGTCTCCCTACTTCTATTAAAACATATTGTTTAATGGCCCCCGCCGAATTTTTGCGCCTGTCCCAAGTCAGGAGCCTCTAGCCTTTGTTTGTCTTGTATTATTTTTAATTTTAGTTTTTTGTGTACAATTTGGAGTTTAGTATGGCGTTCATTATCACTGAACTAGTATATATATTTGATTAGGGGCCAGCTGAAGGACGCTTCCGGGTGCGTGAATTTCTCGCTGCATTGAAGACCTGTTGGTGACCTTCTGCTGTTGTCTGTTCTATGGTCGGGTTGTTGTCTCTTTGACACATTCCCCATTTCCATTCTCAATTTTATTAAACTTTAAAAAACTTATTCAGATATTTATATGGTACACATTCTAGAAATCTATGAAAACACATAGAAATATTTAAAAGTTGTTGGCTTAAGATTTGTTTTAGAGCATTAATTGTTCAAAATGATAATTCTCACTGATTGTTGTAATGGATTAATAATAAAAACAACATTTTATTTTGATAAACTAGCTATATAGTCAGCTTGGAATGAGTAAAAACAATGATGTACAAATTTTAAAACTTGAAAAAGATATAAATTTATATTGTTATCAAATTGACTAACCAGAATTAATAAATTTGTTAACAAATATCAATAAGATAAGTACAATGTATTCCAGGGAAGTGCTATTTTGCAGGTTGCAGGTCGCAGGTTGCGGGTTGCAGGTCACACATATAAATATTATATATGTAAAAAGGTCATATTAGGGGAATTAATACCTATAAAATCTACCCCATGACTGATAAATTTACAAATTATTTCTTACAGTACACACACTGAAGGGTAGAAGTATTTTGTCTTTTTTTTTATCATAATCTTCAAATTCAATAATCATAATTTTAATACAAATACATGTATCTGTTGATGCTTATCATACCGCTCAATTGCTATTAATAGTTCTAAACATTGATTCTAGTGAAGTTGAAGTAATAAAAACTTCAAATTGACATAGGCTGAACAGGTTCTATGGAACACATTAATCTGTCTTAATCTAGTGACATAAACAATTAAATTCCTTTCAGTTGACATTCAACATCATTGAGGCTAATATTAAGAAATTATAAGCTCTAGATAATTATATGCATTTTCTTGCATGAACATAATACATTTAGTGCAAGAAACAAACAAAATAATTTGCTTCCCAATTCTGTTTTTATTTATGTAAAGACCCAAAACCTTGAGTCTGTTCTGTTTTAATTGTCCATTTACAATTTGTCTAATGATTTAAAAGTAAAAAATGTATTAATTTTTTTAAGAAGGAGGCGGACATCCTGTTTCTTAAGTATATACCTCCCCAAATTTCAAGCAGGGATAATATAAGCTCTCCTGCATTCCATTTTCCATTTGCATTTATTTTGATTTTACATTAACAAGTCAAGGGAATAGAGTTAAACAATATGGAGTAAAATGAATTCCTATTATTACAAAAACAATAAAAAAAAAATTTTAAAAAAAATATGGCAAGAATTGTACCCATTTTCCATAAATTTAATATTTCCAAGGGACTCAACTTTTTTAAATAAAGTTGATCGTCCACCGTTTTAGAACTTGTCCGAGATATTGCTAATATCAACCTATATAAAAGTACGAGTTTTTTAAAAATCTGACAAGAATTGTACCCGTGAGATCGCTAACGAGGCCATTTTCCATATATCTAATATTTCTAAGGGGCATAACTCTTTTCAAAAAAGTCGATCGTTCGCCATTTTCGAACCGGACGGACGGACAGACGGACGCCCGGTATTTCCATGTCCCCCCGCAACGCGTTACGCGGTTGACAACAAGATATCTATCATAGCGTATAAACGCAGTAAACGCAGTCTTTTAAGACAAGACTTTTAAATAGGTCGACTTTTGAGACGGACCCTTGCTTTGAATGCAATAGAACTAAAAAGCTTAAAAATCCAGAAACTTACATCTAGTTAAAGGCCAATAAGTCTTTACCACTATATAAAAAATGTGTCAAGTCTTGATGTTTTAGTATGTATGTTCTATGCATTTGTTGAAAGTTTTACCCAAATGTTTGTTAAATTTTCCCTTTTCGAACAGAAAGTGTATGTATTAGATAAACCCTGAGGGTGTTAGACCAATTAAGTGCATTTACATCTCAAGATATTATGATTAATGTAAATTGATAGATTTCTATTTATAGATGTAAGTTTATTTACACCAGAATGTTGTTTAATGTAATTGGATACCCTGCCTTTAACATTGATCATAAAATTGTGTAAATTAGATACACCCTCTCATGCTAATGCCCTCGTGGTATATCTAATACTTAAACACGCAACCTGCAACCCGCAACCTGCATTGTAGGCAATTTCTGTATTCCAGTATTCCACTATGCAAATTAAAGGAAAATAATTTATATTTCATTTTTGGTTGCAGCAAATACAAATGTTCGGCAAATTTTTCAACAAACTTTAACATACTCTGTTCAAATAATAAACATTATGCAACTAGACTATAATAAAAAAAAATATCAGAATGAAATTTGAAAATAAAGGTAGGACAGGGGTTTGAGTAATAAAAAGGCGTGATGAGACACTTTGGCCAAAAAAAGGCAGGATGACTATTTATGGAAAAAAAAGTCAGGATAAACTAATGAACTAGTACACATTGTTGTTAAAGGGCCAGATGAAGCACGTCTCCGAGTGCGGAATTTTCTCGCTATGTTGAAGACCCATTGGTGGCTTTTGGCTGTTTTCTGCTCTTTGGTCGGGTTGTTGTCTCTTTGACACAATAATCCCCATATCCATTCTCAATTTTAATACAAAAAAGGCAGGACCGTATAGAGTGAAAAATATAAAGGCTGCGGCTGAGGAAAGACATTTCAACTAATAAAATGAAGTACAAATTTTTTCATCCTAGCCCCCATAAAAATCAAATGGTGGTCCCTCATCAATACCTTTAACCCCTTCCCCCTTCCTCCATCAAACCCCTCCCCCCCCCCCCCCCCCCAACAAAAAATCCAGTCCCTCTTTAAACGTACATTGCTCTCACACTTGTTTTAAATAAATGTTTACCATATATATATTGAAATCATTTCAACAACATGCTCCTGTCGTACTGACGTGTTTTCATTCAGCAAAGCTCTGCATGACCTGCATCTTCAAGGTCACAAAAAGTTTGTCTTTCTTGAACTGGTTCCCTGATTTATTTGGATAACATACGCTTTTTCTATCGACACTGCCACTTTTTCTTGACTCTTGTAGATCGAACTTTAACAGATTGAAGGTCAGAATGTTTGTTCCGATTCCACAGACCAGTTACCTGTTACCTATTCTGTAAATTCCACCTTTTCCAGATGAACCACTTCAATTGGGAAATCCTAAAGTAAAGGTATGGGGAAATCTGGATTTAGAATATTTTTTTGTCATCTGCTTGACCACAATAAAGTCAATGCTTAATAGATAGAGCAATAATTTCCCTTATACAGTTTAATAAAACAAATTTAAAATTCAGAAATAAAGATAATTCATTGAATCAAGACTACTAAATATGGACCTATTCAAGAACACCTTTTAGGGTGTGCTTGACTGGATTGTATTTTTAAATGTTGTGTAGGACTTTTTGTAAACGATAAATGCTGGCATGGACATAATACTTGTAAGTAAGTTAAATTTTATAATGAAAATCTGTAATAGATAAAACTAATTAAAAGTCTGTGTTCTTTTTACAAAAATCTAGGCTTTACTTGCACAAAATCCCTATTTTCTATTCATCTACATCACAGGTATTTAAGGCATGGACCCTCCTTATTGGGCCCCACTGTAAAACAAAATCTTTTTTTTTTCCATATTTACAATTTTCTACAATGTATAGGCATATAACCTGATAACAAGTCTCAACAATCCATTATTAGTCGATTACAATACCTTTTTTTACTATCAACACAAACCCCAAGTGAAAATGTAAAAATGGCTTGTCACTTTTATTCTGTATGTATATATCTGTTCTTTGAAATGTATTTAATACATTGTTGGCGAGCCATCTTATGTCTTATTAATATTTACGTGTACTTGGGACCTTTTAAATGTTCAAAACTGTTCTATTTGCTTAAAATAAACCTGGAGAAATTTCTAGACACCATTTATTTAAGGTCAAAAGCCTTGTGACCTTAGGGTGAACCTCCTACTGGAGCCCCAGTGTATGAATGCATGTACATATCTTACCAAGGAGGTTGATCTTATATTAGAGTCGGTTGGGGTAATTCCGTACACTTTTGGACCTAAATGAAAGTCATTTGGTTCCCTATTTGATAAACAAGCGAAATGTAATATTTATTGTATTGACCTGCCTGTACGAAATTACCCGGATCGACTATAATCTTTATCATGTTTATAGATTAATCATTTATGCTAATTCTTTTTTTTTTTCATTAATAAAAAAATTCTGCAGATGATTAAGTATAATTTTATAACTTATATTTATTTCCAACAAACTAAGAATGTTTAAAATTTTAAAAATTCACAGAATCTAAATAACATAATTTTAACTTCGCATTGTTTGTTAAAGGGAGTCCCCCGACAGTATATACTCAGTTCATCATTATGGTAGGATCACACATCTGTTATAGTATAATAGATTTATTATGTCTTGTCTATCTTAAGTTTGGTTAAACTGCCTACTGGGAAAAACATTATTACATGATTACATTCCCAATTACTACTATTAGTCAATTATGTGTGAAAATTTTAAATTTCATGGGATTTAATCCCCCAGGATGTGAAACATCATAAGCATTTGTAGATATAAATGAAGAGATATGAAAATTTTATCCTCAGTACTGTGTCAGTCACTTAAAGACAATAAAAACATTAATTTAGGGTACTAAATATTCCTAAAGAAATGAACATTGAGAAGTTCTCATTCTGATACACATTTCAATGATCAATTAAATCATCTTGTATTAGGGAGCTAACCATTTGATTTTTATGGGTGAGCTAGGATGAACAATTTTGTCCTGCATTCTTTTTAGTTGTAATCTCTGTCCAGCCTTTTTATTTTCATTAATTTATCCTGACTTTTTTTTACATAAGTTGTCTTACTGCCTTTTTTTTTGCCAAGTTGCTCATCCTAACTTTTTATTTTACCCAAAACTCCTGTCCTGCCTTTTTTTTTTTAATTTCATTCTAGCCCCCCCTCCCCCCCTTAAATTTCAAATAGTAGCTCCCTTAGATGTGAGGACATCTGATGAATGGTTGATGATCAAGGCATCATGATAGATAATATTTAAACTCTTTCCTTACTTGAAAAAAGCACCTGGTTCCCTAAAGAGCACCAGGGTGCAAAATTTCAGGGGGAGGGTGCAGAGCCTCTATATTTACTGCTCTCCTGGATACTGATTTGTAAACATGTAAAAATAAGGCGGCTAATGCCCTCATGTATCATCAACAAAGATAGTGACAAATGAATAATTTTATTTCCTTTTTGCAATTTCTCATTGATGTGATGTAAATTTTCTGTTAGAAAGTCACACGATTCTGTATCTATACTAGTATGACAGTTTGCCTAAGTTTCACAAGACTGTTTTATCTTATTTTTGCAGAAATTTTTTTTTCTAGGTGTACAACTGTGCAAGTATTGAACATTGCAGCTTGAAATTCAATGTCACCTAAAAGACAACATAATAATGGACAGATGTAAGTATTTGGTAATATAATAATAGTTAAAGATATGAGGAATGTATGAAACTGTTTGAAAAAGTCCACATATAATACACTCCTTGAAAGTAGATTCTTATCTTTTTTACTGTTCTGCTAAATGAGGGTTTGGATGACTGAGGTGGTCCTTTATGTCTTTATTCTTTAAATATTATACCATTTTCCTCTCTATTCAATATTTATTTTGCCCATTAATTATATTATCTCTATTCACTATATTTGTGTGCCCAATTATTCAATATTCTGTATTATTTTTGCAATTGTTTCTCTATTCTTTATTTGTTTGCCCTTTATTCTGCACTTTTTTGTCAAGTATTCTCTATTCTGTAGAACCCCATTCACTCTCTCCATTATGATATATATATTCCACTATTCATTCCAATGAAAAGATAAAAAAAAAGTTTTATGTTGTTCATATTCTAAATTGTTCTCTGATAATACTATTAGTTACATAGTGTGCTAGTGACCTAATACGGTATATATGGGGTCAGTAAATTCCATATGGGGTGAGAGCGAAACTCGAATCCCCATATGGTATTTACTGACCCCATATATACCGTATTACGTCACTAGCACACTATGTAACGAATTTATCTTACCGACTATCTTAACATGTGGTATTTAGACTAGTGACCTATCAAAGTGAGCAAGTCTTCAATACCGTTAGCATTAAGAAACTACTTCCATTGGTCATACAAAAAATAAAAATGCCAACAATAACAACTTGTTAGCTTTAAATGTGTTTTATAAATTTATTTCAATCTTTCATCATCAATTTGTTCGTCTGTTGAAACCTTTAAAAAATTTTCTCAGTACCGTTTTGTTTTTTTAAAGGGTTGTAACACCACTACTAACCGTGTATTGAAATAAGCCTCGCTTACTAAACGAATATGGAATATACATGGTCTCCACGCGGTTGCTTTTAACCAATCATATTCCTAGAAATGTATAGGAGATAAGATAAATATATATACCAGCATATACAATTTGATTTCTCAATCACAAGAAATATCTTTTATGGTTTTGATCTATATATATATATGGAAATTTGGTAAAATAGATATAAAAAAAAATGAAAGAAATGGATGGTAAGTACATTTGTATATATATGATACAGAAACAAAACAACACAACACAAATATAAACAAAAGACTTCTATGTAAACATGAATAATTTAAATTATGATCTTTCAATAGTATTTTAAACTTTAAGTGTATAACACTATATGCCCCCCGCAATTAAAAGATGGGGGGCATATTATTTTACCCCTGTTCGTCCGTTCGTCTGTTCCATTATGGGTATATAATTATTCCAGATAACTTCTCCTACAGTTTGAATGCTAGGAAGTTTTCACTTTGCTGGCGGTTTGTACATATATTGAAGATGTGCATGTGGTCAGGGTTTTGATTTTTATTGATATTTGCTCTTTTGCGAGATAGTTGAACTTTGTCATTTTTGGAGTATTTACTTGCATAAGAGGTGCATAGCTTTTCAGGATCACTCCTCCTACAGTTTGAAATGAAATGGCACCTACCTCAAAAACTTCATTTTAATGAGAAATAATTCAAATTTGAAGCATACAAGTAGTGAAATAATCTTTCCCTTTTAAGTTTTCATTTGTATGACGTCGTGTTTTGCCATGATGTAAAATCGCTAAATCATTCATTAAATTTCACGGAATTTTATTTAAATCTTAATTTTATACATTTTAGAAGCTTTTTAATGGATAATTTCTTTTTTGTTAAATATGCATTGAATAGAAACAAATTTTATGTATTTGTTTTTCAATCTCAATTTGCTGAAAATCCCGTGATCCCTGCATGCATGTGTATCGCGCATGAATAGATCACAGTGACGGTTACAAATTTAAAGTAGTTTCGGAAACATGGTTAATCAAGTGTAAACCAAGGAAAAAAATCTAATTCACCAATCCATTTCAAGTATTTATAGATATGCAAATCATATAGGAATTATTGCCCTTTAAAGGAGACATGACACGATTTTCAATTTGTGTTTCAAATGTTTATTTATACTTAACTTTCCCCAAAAATACATCGATAGCAATATAAGTGTCAACTTTTTGGTAAAATATGTTTTTTAATGAGATTTGAATGCAACGATTTATCGACCTGTCAAATATGCATATTTCCATCCCGAAAGTCACTCAGAACGAGGCTACTACGTCAGTGGTTACATTCATTCATATTGACATATGGGTACAGCACACATTTAGTTTCGATTATTATCCAACAAAACGCATGACAGTGATAAACAATGATTATGTGTGATGCCGATGGATTCAACAATATAATTAAAAAGAATATTGACATGATATTTTATGCTTTTCGAAAGACACGCAGACTTAGAAGGTGTAAAGATGGGACTTTTTAACAAGCCCAAACTACACTTCTTTCCGCCCACTTTCATAAGGAATCAAGAGTTGGGGTCTCAGGTGCCATGCCATGAGTTCATCATAGGTCACAGGTGTACGGTACAGATGATTGAGTTTTGCAATTTCAGGTCCCGTTTGAAGTTGCAAACTTCAGGTGTCACTCCACACGGGGGATTGATAAGACATATAGTTATTACGCAATATTACTTCTTAAGTTCTTTGTGTACATCCTGGATGTTGATTTTGCCGAGGGCACAGGTGAGATTGGAATATATTATTGTTACAGTAATACATTATACAGGTACAACTACCTGATCATATGTTTAATGAATACCTGTAGTACAACAATACAATACCCTATGCACCACCAATTAAATACCCTATCCGGTGTTGATAACTGATAGACAACCTGTATATAGTTCTCATTTTTATTGCTTTTAAGAATATGCAGATATAAAAAGATTTATAACAGATGCATTTTTAATTGACTTCTTGAGATGGAAAGTAATATTCTTGTATGCTTGCAAGTCTATAACTTCATAAGAAATTGTTAGACAAAAAGCATAAAAAGCAAACAAGGAAATGATACGAGAATGTGAATCATAAGTCTTTTACATTCTTTTTCTGACACATTCCCTATTTCCATTCTCAATTTTATTATATTGAACATCGAATATAATTATTGACAACTATTTAGGTGGTAAAGATTCAGGTTTACCGTACGGTCTCCAATAATGAGAAAATCCCATACCGTAAATTCGGCTATAAAAGTTCTCAACGTGAAAATGTGAAACAATTTTAACAAGAAAACTAACTTATTTATAACAAAATAATTCCGCAGAAAAAAATTGACAGACATGCATGAATCAACGGCAACCACGTGCACTGATCTATATGCTCCTGATTTTAGACAGGCACATTCAAAATGTGTCGGTAGTATATGTGTTTGTGAGCGCCTACACCCTCCCCCTCCCAACGTGTGACAGTGGTCTTACATCAGTACATAAGAACTATAAAAACCAGTCTAACGCAAAAGATCGGTACGAAGTAGAGAAACCACTCATGTTAAAACAATAGAGACAACGCACAAATACTGTTAGCTAGATCAAAGCCAAGTACAGCTAATACACAACTCATGTTCTCGAAGACTGAAGTTAAATGTACATGTAAACATTTTCCTGCTCAGTCCGATTGAAAATCTAACATTTATTCAAATGACCCATTTTAGAAGAAATATTTTGAAAAAGAACATTATGTGTTGCGAATATTTTCCTGGACTCGAGCGTTTTGCTGCTAGCAATAAACAAATTGATTGCTAAATGATATTTGGAAGAGAGGGGTAGAAATAAGTTAATTTGAATTTACTATGTGTAATTCCTTAAATTTGAAGTTAGATTTACAAGGGTCTGAATGGAATAGCATACTTTAGAAGTGTAGTACTATAACTATATTAATTATTTCAACATAAGATAGTTTTTCTTTGAAATGAATGATTTTAAAAGGCAAATAACACAACACGTGACTAAATCAGACTACAGTTGCCTTCTTACCTTTCACCTGGTCAAGTATGCTATAGGTGTCAACATTTAATCACTAAAACAACAGCCTCCAATAAATGTTTTGTATTGTGTAATCTTATACATAAGGTGAGACGTAAGTAAAATATTGAATTGAATTGTTAACATAAAAGAGGGAAAGTAATAAAATTGTTAATTGAATATTCTAATGCAGACATTACACTATACAAATCCTTTGTGAGATGTGTGGTTTCCAACCAAAAAAAATTATAAACATAACTTTTGGTGATAATTTATACCTATTAAAAGTCTCTATTTAATAATGATAAAAAAACAGACACTTTTTGAACGCCTAATTTGACTTTTACTATCTTATTTTTCTGCTTCTGGCGCACACATAATTATAACATTACCGTAACAGAGAGAAAAAAGAACAATTTGATCATCAATATTTAGAAATTTATATTTTCAATCATGATTATAAAGTATTGTTAGTTTTATTTAAATGAACAAAAAAAATGCAGAAAGCGGTCTATTAATTTATTCATCAGACAAACCAAATATGTATGGTAACAATACGATCGGTATTGTCTGAAAAATCGTCGTTTTTGGACTCTTCGCATGAAGAATTAATATCCTTTTCTTGGTTATTTTTCACACACAATGTCTTTATAGTTTGTCAGTAATCGGCAAAAGTGCTGTCAATACCGTCCATAGTGTATCGACATCGTCCAGTTAGAGACAATTTCCCAGCTTGTAACCACTGACGTAAGCACGATCACGTGATCGTTATCTAATTAAAAATCATTCTTAATGACAAGCGCTGGATTCTTTGATCAGAACAATGCCGATTTATCAGGTTTTGACCAGCAAAATTGTACAAAACATGTTTTAAGACTAATATTTATCAATTTAATAATAAAAAAAAAAAAAACAAATCGTGTCATGTCTCCTTTAAAGACAATTTTACACAATTTGTTCTTCATGTTTGCTTACATTTAAAAATCTTCTGCTTTGAAACAACTGGGCCGAATACTTATAAACTTTACGTGAATGTTACTTAAGGTATCTAGTTTATAAATTGTATCCGAAGTTTTGATCCATCAACAAACATGGCTGCCATGGCTAAAAATAGAACATAGGGGTCAAATGCAGTTTTTGGCTTATATCTCAAAAACTAAAGCATTTAGAGCGAATCTGACATGGGGTAAAAATGTTCAATAGGTGAAATCTATCAGCCCTAACAGCCGTTTTATTGACCTTGACTTCATTTTCACAGTTCATTGCTCAGTGTTAAGTTGTTGTCGAACCTGCGACTTTTGTCGCAGAAAGCTCGACATAGGGATAGTGATCCGGCGGCGGCGGCGGCTACGGCGGCGGCGGCATAAGCTAACTTCTTAAAAGCTTTATATTTTAGAAGGTGGAAGACCTGGATGCTTCATACTTTGTATATGGATGCCTCATGTTACGAAGTTTCCGTCAGTCACATGTCCAATGTCCTTGACCTCATTTTCATGGTTCAGTGACTACTTGAAAAAATAGTTTTTTGTAATGTTAAATTCTCTCTTATTATAAGTAGTAGGATAACTATATGTAGTATGTGCGTACCTTGCACGGTCCTCATGGCCATTAGACAGTTTTCACTTGACCTCGACCTCATTTCATGGACAAGGTTAAGTTTTGGTGGTTAAGTCCATATCTCAGATACTATAAGCAATAGGTCAAGTATATTCGGTGTATGGAAGGACTGTAAGTTGTACATGTCCAACTGGCAGGTGTCATCTGGCCTTGACCTCATTTTCATGGTTCAGTGGTTATAGTTATTTTTTTGTGTTTTGGTCTGTTTTTCGTATACTGTATGCAATAGGTCTACTATATTTGGTGTATTGAATGATTGTAAGGTGTACATGTCTTGCTGGCAGGTGTCATTTGACCTTGACCTCATTTTCATGGTTCAGTGGTCAAAGTTAAGATTTTGAGTTTTGTTCTTTTTTTCTAATACTATATGCAATAGGTCAACTATATTTGATGTATGGACATTTTTTATGATCTACATGTAAGTCTCGCAGGTTTTATATGACTTTGACCTCATTTTCACAGTTCATTGCTCAGTGTTATGTTTTTGTGTTTTGGTCTGTTTTTCTTAAACTAAGAAATACTTAGTAGGTCAACTATATTTGTTGTACGGAAGGATTGTACCTGTCTTGCATGTGACCTAGGCCTCATTTTCATGGTTCATTGGTCAATGCTTAGTTTTCTTGGTTAAGTCTGTTTCTTAGAAACTATAGCAAAAGATCAACTATATTTGGTGAATTAAATGATTGTAAGGTGTACATGTATTTCTTATTATTGGTTAATCTGATCTTGACCTCATTTTCTTGGATCATGTTTAGTTCATATGAAACTTGTAGTAAAGCCTTATGTTTAGGACTATCAACATAAAATCAATGGTTAATACAGAAGGCAAGACATTTCAGCGTGTGCACTCTTTTTCAGATATTATAAGTGGTGTATGAAATGATTGTAAGGGGTGCATGTCAGTTGGCAGGTTTCATCCTTGACCTCTTTTTCGTGGTTCAGTATTCAATGTTAAGGTTTTGTGTCTTTGTCAGTTTTTCAAATACTATAAGCAGTACCTTAACTATATTTGGTGTATGGAATGGTTGTAAGGCTTACATGTCTGTCTGGTAGGTATCATCTGACTTTGACCTCTCCTTCATGGTTAATTGGTCAATTGTTCAGTTTTTGTGTTTTGGTCTATTTTTTTAAATACTTAAAGCAGTAGGTCAACTATATTTGATGTATAAAATGATTGTAAGGTGTACATATAAAAAAACGGATGTGGTATGATTGCCAATGAATCAACTCTTCACAACAGACCAAATGACACAGAAATTAACAGCTATAGGTCACAGAACAGCCTTCAACAATGAGCAAAGCCCATACTGCATAGTCAGATATAAAAGGCCCCGAAATCACAAATGTAAATCAATTCAAACGAGAAAACAAAGGCCTAATTAATGTACAAAAAAATGAACGAACAACAAACGACAACCACTGAATTACTGGTTCCTGACTTTGGACAGGCACATACATACAGAATGTGGCAGGGTTAAACATGTTAGCGGAATCCTAGTCCTCATAAATTCATATATTTTAGAAATTCTCAAGAAAAACTGTTATATTATAGAAATGTTATTAACATCAACAATATTAAATGTTGTACTTAACTATATTTGATTTATGCTTTTACATAAATATTTTAATTTCCTTATTGCTATAAAATTTATTATATGCTTTTTCTCATGGCAGCTCTAATATAAAAATGTATTTTTCTTTGAATTTCATTATCTTCTTCATTTCTAAACACTTGTTATACACCTCTTTTTCTATAGCCATCATTATTATAGCTGGTCAGTGGTCATTAACCTATGAAAATGAGTCAATTATTTAACCACAGAGCACTACCCATAGGTTCTTATCCTGTGTATTTGATGAATAATTTTAAAATTAATTTTCATCAAAACTCATTAACAGGGCAAGATATATATGGAAATTTATTTTTCTTCTGTGGTTTTAGCATATTAAGTAACAAAATGAAAATGATATTTTGATAAACATGTTGTTGTCTTTGTATTAATTGTGCTCTCATACACCATCAGATTAGTATGTACTGTACTGCAAGTAAAAAAAAAACATGAATCAATATCAGGGAACTTGAAGTAATTGAAAACAAATACCGTATATATATAGTTGGCTATAAAAGGGCCAGACATGTACAAACTTAGGGTTCTGAAGAAATGTTCGATTGCCTATAATTGCCTACATCCACTTCATTTTAACTCTGACGGATAGTTGTCTCTGGCTGTCATTAGTCTGTAGGTTTGGTGTCAATTACTTCAAGTTCCCTGATATTGATTCATGTTTTTTTTTTATTGCAGTACAGTACATACTAATCTGATGGTACTAGTTCAAAACCCAAACTGCACTCTAACTTTATTTTGCCTCAACCAAGTGTTATGAAACTTATACACAATGCTTATTAACACCAAACACTGATCAAGTTTGGGTGTCGTCTCTTTCACCATTCTCATATTATGTTACTTTATTAATAAAAAAAAATTGATAAATTTGAGATATATTTACAAGCAGGAACATCTGTGTTTCATTGACACATTTTTGTTTTATTTATTACATATTTTAGTGTATTAAAAGTAATTATACTGCTTCCACCTTTCAAAATTCTAACAAAGCTCTACCTCTTTAATGGATAAATAAATGATACTAGTCAAGAACTCAACAGATATTTTTTTTTTCAGGTTCACTGGTCGTTCGTACTTGTTGGCCACACACATGAAGATATTGATCCTGCTTTCGGCTAATATCAGAAAAATTAAGAACAAAGGATGCTGAAACTGTGCAGTCACTGTTCAGGATTATTCCAGATGTTTCAAAAGTGAAATTATAATACAATATATGTTACTGGCTAATTCCTATGATTAGTAATTTTAAACAACACACAGAGACTTTGCATTATTTTTTTACAAGAGAGACACCAAAAGATGCAGTCAACATTTATCATTTTTATCAAAATACACCCAGGACAAACCATGGATACACTTAGCTTGAAATATGGTGCTTTCTTACCAAAATTGCCTGGACGTAAAAGAAATGAAGAACCTAAATTCATGACAACAATCAGGAGATACCAGAAGAACTAGTATAAATGGTTAAAGATGAAAGAATGCAGAATAAGGTACTGTCATATTCAGTCTTAATAAGAGTCCTGCTGCTTTATATATATATATGCATTTTTTTATGCCCCGTCGTAGCGGAGGGGGCATTAAGTTTTACCCTTGTACGTCTGTACGTAATTTGATATAAGAAGATGTGGTATGAGTGCCAATGAGACAACTCTCCATCACAATTTGTAAAAGAAAAACCATCATAGGTCAAAGTACGGTCTTCAACACGGAGCCTTGGCTCACACCGAACAGTTAGCTATAAAAGGCCCCAAAAATGACTAGTGTAAAACCATTCAAACGGGAAAACCAACGGTCTAATCTATATAAAAAATGAGAAACGAGAAACACTTATGAACCACATCAACAAACCACAACTACTGATCATCAGGTTCCTGACTTAGGACAGGTGCAAACAAATGCAGCGGGTTTAAACGTTTTAATAGGTACCAACCTTCACCCTTACCCGAAACAATAGTGAAACATCACAACATAGAAAGACACAGTATAAATGGAAAACAGAAATATTTTTTACAAAATAAATAATTTTGTTGTTCATAGTACGAGAAACAGAAGTAAAAAATTTAAAGTCATACTAAACACTTATCAAAGCAGCTGGTATATATCAAAAATAGAGAAACATTGAATAACAAAAAACATTACGATTGTATCAACAGGTCAACATGAAAGTACGATTTGAGAGTACTCGCAGTTACGTATACTGAAAGCTAGTTAAAAGCCAAAATTAATCAATTAATAATAAAAAAATCATGCATCAGAGACTAAAATCAACTTAAACACATCCCAGGGATTTAGTATTTAATATCATGGACAGTCAAAGAAGACATGACTTGTGCAATGCCAAAAATAAAGTATCAACAGGTTGTAGGATAGTTATATTAACCTCTATATAGAAAAAAATAACGTGGATGTGTATTTATACATCCCACTTAAAAAAAATACAAATTTAGTTATGTTTTAATTTGCTGATGACAAAATCGTTATTTGTGCTAATGTAAACTATATTCAAAGCTCTAATTACAACATTTGTAAGATAACCTTTACTAATAAGTTTGTTTAAAGGTTCGATGAGTTTACATGGATCACACAGTGATTTCCGTGCTTTTAGTACAATATTACTGTAAAATTTAGGATGTGAAATACCGTTTTTTATAAGTTTTGGTACAGCCAAATTTACTAATCAAATCTGTGTATCTATGAAAGAATGTTATGAAACTTATACATTGCTTATTACCACAAACCACAAATCAAGTTTGAATTTTGTTAGCGTCACTTTTACCATTCTAGATCTAGAGTTATGCCTCTTTACAAATGGAAAAATTGCTGATTTTTTTTGTGTCCGTTCTCTAACTTAAGTTTGCCTGAAGGAAATATTATGAAACTTATACACAATGCTTATTACCACCAAACAAAGATCAAGTTTGAATGTTGGTGGCCTCACTTTTACTGGTCTAGAGTTATGCTCCTTTACAAATAGAAAAATTGCCAATACGCCAGTTTACGGGACTAATATGGTATACCGTTGTCCGACCATCCGTCTGTCGTGAACATGTCTGACAATCAAAAACGTTTGAACCAATTTACATGAAACTTTGGTGAATTAGTTATATCTATTGACGTGCGCTCCCTTTCGTTTTTTATAAATTTTAGATTTTAAGTTTCCAGGTTTTGGGTTTTTTTTCATTAAAAAGGGGGGAATTTTCAGTTTTCGGACAATAACTCAAAAAAAATTCACCAATTTGCAAGAAACTTTGGTGATTTGTTTATATCTATTGACATGATCTCCCTTTCGGTTTTTATAAATTCAAGATTTGACCTTTCCGAATTATGGAGTTTTATTCATTAAAAAAGGGTGAATTTCCAGTTTTCGGACAATGACTCTAAATGCTTTCTGCAGTTTTCATGAAACTTTAGTGAATTGTTTATATCTATTGACTTAAGCTCCCTTTTGATTTTTATCAATTTTAGGTTTAAAGTTTTGGAGTTATGTGATTTTATTCATAAAAAGGGGGGATTTTCCTGTTTTCGGACAATGCCTTGAGCAGTTATCATGAAACTTTGGTTACTGGTTGTATCTATTAAGATAACCTCCCTTTAGTTTTTCATGAATTTCTGATATGACATTAAGAAGTTATTGAGCTTTATTCTTTGAAAAAGTGATGGGCATATATCATGCACTCATGGTGCAGCTGTTTATTCATTTTAGTTCACTATAAACTTAAGTTTGCTTAATCAAATGTTCAAAAACTTATACACGATGCATATAACCACAAAACTCAGATCAAGTACTCATTTGGGTACTGTGTGTCACTTTTATCATTCTTGATTTATGACCCTTTAAAATGTTATATGCAAGCGGGGGCATCATCTGTGTCACATGGACACATTCCCTATTCATTTATTTACAGAATTTTGAAAGGAATCAATAATACATGATTTTCACATAGATAAAACATATTGTTACAAGAATTTATACGTGTTTAGTACAGATGAAATGCAACTCAACAACAGAAAAAATAAATAAACAGCATAGATGCAGTTTTGACCAATACTTGTATAAAAATAAGAAGATGGTGCATGATTGCAAATGAGACAACTATCCACCAAAGTTTGAATAAAGTGGATTTAAGCAGTTATAGGTAACTGTACAGCCTTCTACAATGAGAAAAACCCATACTGTATAGTCGGCTATAAAAGGCCCCGAGAAATCTAACGGCCTGATTAACAAAACAAGTAACGAAAATCAAATATATAACATACATATAAAACCAATGACTTCCATGGAAGTATTGGCTCCTGACATGGGACAGGCACATAAAGAATGTGGCAGGTTAAACAAGTTTTTGAGTCTCAATCCTACCCTAACCTGGGACAGTGGTGTTACAGCATAACTTAAGAACAAACTATAAAGATCAGTTGAAAAGGTTTCATCATATTTTTATAGGTCAACTGTCTTGAAATGATTAACAAGTGATTGTAGAATTTAATAAACATCTCAATTGTCAACTGAAAAGCCAAAAACAAACAAACATCTACTATCAACATCAAATTCCCTAAAGACATAAGCTTTAAGATACAACTTTAGGTGACAGGAAAAGTCTTGACTTTGGATAGGCACATGGACTTGCAGTAGTTTCTGAAAACTCAATATTGCTCCCCTTTTAAATCTTGATCAGTATTTGTAAAATGAAAAAAAGTTACATAGAAGAATGCAGGTTGCCAGTAACATTCAGTTGGAGAAAGGGAAAAGATTACTCAACTCTACACTGAAATAATTTTGAAAACTATTAATGGCTATACTATCTTTATTGTAAAAAATGTTGGAAAAGTTATGTACCTTATGATCATGTTGATTGTGTGAAATGTCACACAAGGCAATCAAAATGTTCAGAGGGGGAAATGAAGTTTTGTTATAAATGTCAAGTGTGATAGTTTCAACCTATCAACATGATCAAAATTGTTGACCTCACTATTAATATTTACATTTAGCATGTACAGTGGAATAGAATGTTTTTGTTTCTTTTATTAAATGTTATTTTAATTTGCTCTTATAGGCAGGATTAAAAGGAAGAAAGAACTAGTCATCAGTAAAGAAACAGATCAATTTATATAACATGTAATAATTCCATCTGAATATAACAAACATTGCACATGTTATGAAGATTTGTTCACATGTCTACTCTGATTTGTAGTTATGTATTTGTAATATTATATAGTACATGTATTTTTTTTTAGAACAGTCTTTTTTTTTTCCTGTGGAGAACATAAAAGAAATTTAGAAAAATATAATTAAAGATAGTTTCTTCCATTTTTTCTGTGACAAAATAAAATTGTGCAAATTAGGAAAATGAAATGAGGCTATTCTTAAATTTTTTTGAGTTTTAGTTTTTTTTTACATTCTATTTTAAAATTTCATTGACATTTGAAGTAATGAGTTGAAACTAGTTTTTATCAATCATTTTGTTTTCAAGATGTACAAACAGTACAGTAGGTTATGTCTTTGTTGTACATTAGTTTACTATGATGTTGAGGTCAAATAAACTTGAAACTTTGTACTTACAAGTGTTCATTATGAAGTCATTTTTTAAAAATAATTACAAATAAGTTACTGAACATGGAAATGTGTTTGTGGGAGCAGGGTATAATGTGTTATGGACACACAACTCAATCCCATAGAGCACCGCCCTCCTCACCGGCCTCTCAGTAACCTAATAGTATATTGACTTTGAAAATTTCCTTAGTTTACACTGTAAGGTTTGTGATAAGTTCAGTTTAAGGAGAACCATTAATAGTATGTTAGGGATATTTTATTTGCAGTTGAATAAGCTTTTGGACAACGCATGTGCTTGGGGATTTTTTTACCTTGAACCCTCAATCATGGTCTAATAACTTAGAATCTTTTGCAAAGTTTACATGTTAAAGTTTATGCTTAGGCCAGTTTAAAATCGACCACTTATCAGAGGCGGATTTAGAGGGGGCCTGGGCCCCCCTTCTTTTGTGGGACAAATTTGATTGATTATATATAGGGAATCACTGAAGCATTACAAAAGAGATGCAGTAGAGAGCAACCTTTATATTTCTTAGAAAATACTTTTTTCGGAACTGTCATGAAAAGTATGCTTATAAACAAAATTCCTATTTTTTTCAGTTAAACACATATTTTTATGAATCATAATATTTCAACAAATGTTTGAAACAAATTAACATAAAAACTTTCTAAATGTATCAAAATTCTGTGTTGTAAAATCTTATCGATTTTGTTTTTCGGGATTTTTCCCAATATGTATAAGAAATCTGTAGCATAATTTTTGCTTGTAGATTTCATTTCGGGATTTTTCCCCGAAAGGGGTAAAAAAATATATGCAACAAGTGTGTGCTTGATAATATATTTATATTTTCGGGATTTTTCCTGAAATGTGAAAAGAAATTATTAGTCATGAGTTCTAGCATATACTTTAGGTTTTCGGGATAAATCCCGAAATATTTGAAGACATCTGTGTTAAACATTTTGCACTTAGTTTATTTTTGTCAGGATTTTTCTCGAAATGTGTTTCAGATCTATTTGTCAAAATGCTTTGCCAACATATATGTTATAAATAATAATGTTGAAAATGATTTCGGGACATTTCCCGAATAAAAAGTTGTCACTTACATCTTTACCACAAATATTTTGAAACTTTAATATATTTTGGGAAATTTCCCGAAAATTAAATGTAAGTTTTGTCAATTATATAAATAAAAACATGGAATATTGTAAAAATCATTTATGGTAAACATTGAAAAATATTATAAAAAGGATTAAAATGGATTTTACTCTTTTAAAATAGAGTCAGTTAGACATATTTTATATAGATTATCTTTCAATTTATTTGTCCACAAGTTACGACTATCTTCTTTTGGAGTTACGGTGATCTTTCGTAAATTTTCAATGGCTATTATTTCGGTAACAAGGTCACATATGATATTAAGAACACACACATACAACAATATCGTACACATCAACCTAGCGGCTGAGTAGTTCTTTAAAACAACGCGTGTACACGGAGAAATTACAAATAGACGATTTAACCTGTTTTGGGCTCCGCCATGTTTGGATCACCGTAACTGCAATTACGGTGATCAGTTTAACACCAGTGATGTATTGCAATATAACTATATTGCTCAAGATGTTGTTTTTGTACAAAGCAAATAATGTTCACCTCACTTATTGTTTTGATTCTGGATATGGATGAATAGTTCTAACTGGATGTCAAATAGCAAATGAACAATCAATACCATATAATGAAAACAACTTATATTGAATGATCTTTCATGAACATTTGTTTGGATACATACAAATATTTTGATTTTATCATTAACCTAACTAACATAATTCCTGTTGTAAAACCCTATAATATTTTTCAATAAAGCTTACACCCAGCTCTATTGTTATACTTCATAGTTTCTATTTTTGAAACAAGTGTAAATTGAATAGATCTATTGTTACGAATAACAATGGATTTTGACCACAGGATGTGACGAGCAGGGTTTATGGAAACCTCTGCTTCTACATCCCGCAAACAAAGTCCATTGTTATTCGTAATAATAGAAATTGAGCATTTTTAAATAGCATGAGCATAAGAAATTACTAATAGTTTTCACTACAAATTGTTTCAAGATATTAAAAAAACACATTTTAGGAAATTCCAATAGCGAAAAAAAAAATTCAGCATCTATTTTGATTACAAAAATAATCTTTTATATACTCCTTTGCTTGAAGGTATTTTTGTTTATCCCAGTCAATTGTGACTTATTTCTCTATTCTAAAGCATTGAAAAACGGGGATTCTAACTCCCGGACCTCACCCCTCCCCCCCCCCCCCCCCGGTTACACAGTAGCCGATCCGGGGGTGGAGGTTCCGTGGGTTGGACCCGACTTTTATTAAACAGGTCAATGCATTTGAATGGTTGGACCCCCCCCCCTCCCCTTTATTTCTTTTGAGTTGGGAACCCCCGGCTGGATCAGCCCCTGATTGCCCCCCAAAAGGGGTGTTGCTAAACGGCGGAAACGGAAAACGGAACGGAAACGGAAAGAAATATTTATATGGACGGAATATAATGGGAAAAAATGGAAACAACTACGAAAATCAATAACAATTGAAGTAACGAAATCACACAACAAGTATGTTGACAATAGGATAGGAGCTAGATATCTAAGAAAATAACAAACAGTTTTGGCATGCCAAGAAATCCTCGCTAAAAATTTCGGTGAAACTTCTACGGCTACCATTAGTAGTTAAAGATTTGATTTCATTTAACAAATTGATTTACGACCTGTGTATGTACGTGTCGCTCAGAACACAACCATATACCAAATGGTCAATATTAATCATCCATGTAATTTGCTCTATGGGATGTTTGCACAATTTCAAAGGAGGCAATTTCTTTGCATGAATACATAACAGCAATAAAAAAAACAAGAGGCTATAAAGAGTACGTGCCATTTATCTAGGTCTATGTGTATCTTAAACAATGGGAACTCTCCAACATTATAGACTTGAATAGTTCATGACAAAATACTCTCTATCTTCTTTTGTTTTTTATCCAAACACAAGAGAGGATAAAAAAAAAGTCGTCATTTAAGGGCAATCATTACTTTAAACAGCCTTCTTACTACAACGGAAGTTTGCCTTGTTTGTAGATTTGGTCTTACTGATCGTTCTTGTTTTAAAAGTTTCTAACTATCGCTTATAGTTTTCAAGATAATTGGCAAACACACCAAAGATTGGTCAAATCAGTAAGAGCGAAAACTCCAATAACGAGTCGACTAACGATTTCGCCGGACATTTTGACCTCCTGGTAGATCTTGTCTTGATGGTAATTTTTGCTGTTAAAAGTTTCTATCTATTTATTGTTTATTTCAAATAATAGGCAAACATGGAAAATGGTAAAATTCATCATATAAGGGTAGAGCTCAACATTCTAAACATGTTTTTCACTTTAGGTTTTCGCTATATATTATATATTCATAGTGGTTTTCAATAGACAATTTGGATTTTATCCCTATGTTTTATTTTAGCCATGTCGGCTATCTTGGCTGGCAAGCAGAATTATCCAACACACTTTTTAAACTAGATACACCAAAGATGATTGTTGCCAAGTTTAACCAAAACTGTCAGACGACTTCCTAAAAGACATGTGTTCGGTAACATTTGGCCCAGTAGTTTCAGAGAAGATTTTTTAAAAAGTTAATAAAGACGAAAACGGACGACGGACGCCAAGTGACGAGAAAAGCTCCCTTGGTAGGGCCAGTTCAGATAAAAAAGAACTCTGAAAGTATGCCACCACTGAAGACTTAAGCAGGTCTACAGGCAGGAAACAACAATGACAGAGAAGAAATATTGAATAAACAATTCACTATAATTGTATCAATGAAGAAGACATCAACTAGATATGTACCACTAAATAAACCGTTATATTTAAAATGGAAAGACATAATAACTTAAGTAGGGGCGAGAAAAAATTAGAATATGGACTCAATAGACTTTTATTTTTATGTAAAAATTGACAAAATCACTCAATATACAAAGCCTATACTACATAAGAAAATCCCTGTTCCAAGTCAGGAATATGACAGTTGTTATCAATTCGTTTAATGTGTTTGAGCTTTTTTCTTATAAAACCGTAAGATATAAAATACAGTTATGATTACCTTTATTTATCTGATACACGTAAGTACTTTGCATTATAATATTGCCTTTATCTTTAGTCTCATCTACCAAATCCAACGCTTGCCACAAAATATCGTCCGTCTTATACCCGTCCATATTGACAACTGTATACAAGGGACATGATGTATTTTTTGTTTGTAATAAGAATACACGAAACAGTCAACCTTGACCTGCTGATCCATATTAGCACATGGATTTAACGGGAATATGTAAAACAACTTTGACACTTGTAAAATATACTCACTTGTCAAAGTTTGAACGAAGATAACAAAAGAAAGGCTACTAATGGGGTTTCATGTAATAAAAACATCTTATTAATCATGGTTTGATATTGTCAATAAATATGCTATTGTTTTTTTTTTTTTTCATTTAATAATCAATGTTAGCAAATATAGGGTTAAGAATGGGCTGTAATTTAGTTATACACTTTGGGATACGGCGTGTCCTGATAAGAAACCCCTCCGGCCTCCGGCCGACGGGGTTTCTTAAACAGACACACCTATCCCTC